AGCATGCAAGATCAGCAGGGGTAAAAGAAAAGTTGTGTATAGCTTGGCCAGACTATACCTTGGACAGAAATTTGAAGATCTGAGGAAGAGAAAAAGTTATCAAAGAAAGGATAAGTATTTTTTTTTTTTTCTGTGAAGGACTTAATAGTAAACATTTAAGGTTTTGCAGAAGTGGCAAAGTTTAGGATATTATATAGGTACTTACATATTACACGGTCTCGGGGGTGGGGGGATGCAGTGGCTCACACCTGTAATCCCAGCACTTTGAGAGACCGAGACGGGCAGATCATCTGAGGTCAGGAGTTTGAAACCAGCCTTGACCAACATGATGAAACCTCGTCTCTACTAAAAATACAAGATGAATTTCATAAAAGTTTCACACCCAAAAATATTATTGTTCTTTTGGTGTTTTTCTCAACCAGCTAACATGTGAAAACCATGCGTAGCTTAGCCCCTGAGGTATATAAAACAGGTATGGATTTGGCCCATAGGGCATAGTTTGAAACCCCTGAAAATACAATGTTCTCAAACTCTGACGTGTATAAGGATCAATTAGGGTATCTATTTTAAATGTAGGTTTTTCCAGGCCTCCTCCCTAGAGAGTTAGATTTCTTAGGGTAGGAGTGAGGCCCAGGAGATCTGCATTTCTAACATGTACTCTAGTGAACTTTCACTTGCTAGGTGGCATGCATGTACAAAGTTCTTTGGTGTAGGACAGTGTTTCCCAAAGTATAGTCTGGAACTACCAGTTGCAAAATTGCTCAAGGTCAGTTTGGATGTAGTTCAGCAAGATGACTACGGTAACAGCATCCACAGCTTCATGCCCTACATTTCGAGTCCTGGAGATGATCAGTAGGAGTGAGGGTTGCTATTAACATAGTTATCTTGTTGAACTGCATCCAAACAAATACTCTAAGTTGCTCTTCTCTAGGCCTGCTACTTAAAAATATCTGTCCTATGAAACCTGTAGAGCAGAGGCACTGTGTCACGCAAAATCCCCACCCACCACCACCCCTTTAACTCTGCCGTACAGATAAACATGATTTAGTAAGTACAATATTGCATATAAATGTACCCTGCCCTCCATATAGTTCTTAACGATGTCAATGATCACAAAACCACATTTTTGTTTAAAGGTCAAACATTATGCTTTCTGTTAGGATTTGAGGGTTTGACTTAAGAACTAACTGTTCTTGCTTAAAATGAAACAGAAAACCAAATCCCAAGTATATTATAACCAGCCTGAAAAATAAAATCAGTAAAATTTAGGAATTCAGGTGATGGGATGATAATCAAGAGCCCCCTGGGCACCTGTCAGAATTCTGCAGTTTGGAAGCCTGCTCATGCAGAATCTGAATATTTAGCCATGTGATGATTGCTTGTCAGAGGTTTATTCTAAACCTCCTGTATCTGGTGGAATAGATGGCGCTGCCTCCCTCTCCTCCCCTACTTGCTGACCCTGTGTTTGACGCTATCTTCAGCCTCTCTCCAAAACATGGGGGCAAGGGTAGGGAGAAAGAGAATTGGATTTTAAAATCACGGTTAATGATAGAACTATTGTAAAAAGGTTAGAAAAGATGTGTTCTGATGCCTGACCTTCACGGTGTTTTAATCCCAGACACATGAGGAAATCGGAATGAATACAAGCTCATTTTAAGGTTAGAGAACACCGTCTCTGATAAATTAGTCCCTTTGTAGATCTCAAAATTGAATTAAAATACAGCGCTCAGTCATATTTCGGGCTAAGCTGTTACATTTGCATTAAAGGTGTAGGGCTCAAGCATTTTGATGTGGGATTCAGGACTTGGCACAGTTCATGTGGAGTTCAGAATGGTTTTCTCTGCCTATATCGTACTTTATGGGGCAGATTTTAAAATCATATTTCTCAGTTTATGTTAATGTCCTTCTCGGAGACCTAGCAGTGTGGATGTCCCCTCTGCAGACGCACATACTTCCCATTAATGCTAATGGGAGTCAGAACCAACCACACTGGGAGATAAATGATCTCCCAAATCTCTTCTGACCTTATCTAAAGTAACAGGATTGTTAACTCCCATGAACATATTGGCCAAATAAAGCTTTTTTCCCCCACCTCACCTAGAAGAAGAATATAAGAATCAGAGGACCTCTGTGGAGAAACTAACTGCAGCTCAGAACCAGGAGCCACTACCAGAAATAACTCTGCTTGGAAACACATGAATTCTACCTGTCAATCAGGCTACCTGGGCACATCATCCCTTAACCATACCTACACATCGCTGCCTTCCTCTTTTCGTGCTGGGTCAGGCTCTTCCTGCCTCAGTCCTTCCTCTTTCTGTCACCTATTAGGAAATTTCAGTTTTTAAAGTGTTGTGCCTGTTTCAGCAAATCATGTGGCTAGCATAGGCAGGACATACTAATTCTGCATCTATAAATCCACTAAAACGCTTCTGGAAATTGTCCTCAGGTCATGTTTCCTAGTTTTAGACATTCACATATACCATCTTCATGATTTTTTGCATATCCTCCTATAACAATGCATATTTAGTACTTTTCTTTGTACTGACTCATTCTTAAATTCATTTTGAAATACTGTTGTATTTCCATTAATTGCCATTAATGGAAAACCAGTGTTCTCCTATTATACCTTGAAAGAAACAAATAGTTACCAAAATTTAAAAAAATTGTAACTGTAAACTGCCTAAAACTATATCCTATACTTATTTGGGTGAATAGCTATTTGCATGTTACTAGAAGGCAAGAAATAAATTATTTTGTTTGTTAGAATAGGTAGAAGTTATTATTTTAGCAATATTTATAACCACACAAAAATGAGGCAACCATAACATATTTCATCCCTGATATATCTGTAGGCTGTGCACCATGATTCAGTGCAAGATGAGCAGCAGGGAACTGCACAGTTCGTTGGGAATGGTTTTGTCCTGGGGCTTGTGGTATCACTGGGATATGAACTCTGATGGGAAATAGAGGCCTCTCCTTTCTGCCAACTCTTGGGAGAGCCAAGGAAGTCAATACTTATATGAAGGATGATAATAAAATACAGAACATACCTTTTTCCTACCTGTGAAAATACCCTACTTTTAACAATATGAGGCTCACTTCTCTTTGCTAATTATTCTATTTGGGTGGAAACGTCATAAATGTTCATTTCAGCATGATTTAGAATACATGCATATCCATTTAAAAATATATAAACAACAAAACAAATACTAATATTTCTTAGGTGCCAGATACCCTGTTAATTGCTTAGCATGGATTACCACAGTCATCAAAACAACTTCATTTTATGAAAATACGTTTATAAACAAAACAACTATTAATATTTCCTAGGTGCCAGGCACCACACTAATCACTTAACATGAATTTTCACAGTTATCAAAGCAACTCCATGAGATTGGCACTGCTATTATCCCCACACAGGCTAATTATCTTGTCTAAGAGCTAGTAAGTGGTAGAAATGAGATTCAAACCCAGCTCACTCTGACTGGAATCCCTGCCTTTTAACTATGATTTTAAGATGTCAACCTAATATTCTCTTGTATCTCCATAACTCACAAATAATCTATAACAGATCCTAGCTCTGTGTCTAACCAGCTCTGAAACATTGAGATCTCTCTTGGTCCTAAATGATTACTAAGCTTCCTTTAGCCAAAACAGTCATACATTAGCAAAGACCTCTAGCTAGAACTGTGCTTTACAAATATTATCTAACCTCTTTTTCCTTTGCCCATGCAACAGAGTGAACAAGCAGTCAGTCATACACTGATGCTAGTGCTGTGAGGAAGTAATTAATAGACTGAAATAGTTGGAATCAATCTAAACATATATTTAGTTCTAACTCTTGGACTTCCAATCTTCTATCTGCATCGTCACGTATGTTAATGATAAAAAGACTTCCCAAAAGAGTAGTACATTTCCAACTTTGAAAGACCCTAAAATACACAATTAGGTAATCTGTAGTTTTCTTCTTTAAATTAAAGGCAATTTTTTTGATATTTTTATTTGCCTTCATCTATCCTCACAAAGGGAGCTACAAATGGGCAAGAAGGAAATAATATGATATGACTCATCTGTATAAATTACTCAGAAACAGGAAGAATGGGTAAAAAAATTTCCTGGTGCAGGATAAAGAACCAAGAAGAACTCAGAATCAGGATCTGGGTTCAGGTCTCCTTCAGCTACTCGTGACCTTGAGAGAACCACCAACGTGAGCCTCATCTTCTTCAGTTAAATCATTGCCAAGTTCCCTTCAACTCAAAAATCCTATGACAGGGCAATATATAAAGTGAAAGAAATGCAAATGAAATGTAAATTAAGATTTTCTCCTTTTCAATGGTTACTTAGCACTTCCAGCCTGTGCCATGAAGCTAATATTGAAATAGTTTCACTCGTGTGCTTTGCTAACAGCATAAAGGACTTTCTGCTACAAAAATTATAAATCACCCAGGCTATGGTATATGGGAATTTTATTTCCTTAAAACTGACAAGGTTCCCTGAGTGACTAAGGCAAAGCACAGAGGTGATCAAAGCCTTTTATTAGTATAATAAGCCATATCCATATCTCTGAATAAACGGGACAGCTATCTTAAAAATTACCAATGTCATTGTTTAAGCAACGTTTGCTAAAAATAGTACATGAGTCTTGAGTTTTTAATTTGTTGGAATAGTGTTCCTAGACATGAATTTCAAATCTATAGAGACTTGAAAGAAATTTAATTAAAGGATTGAAGATAACATTAGTTACAATACTATAATAGATACAATGGCTATAATTCTCAAAATTGTATTGGATGATTCTGAAATAAGATAGTCTTTCAGTCATATTCATTACCAGCAGTTTTCTAAGAATTATTAATCATATCATGTTTGCTGTGATGAATTAATTTAGCAATACAGTGATATCTGTATATATTAATATGAATGATGCCACTTCTATAGATTACATTATTAGACATGAGGACACATATATTAATATTTGAATTCTTTGGGTTAGCCATTACCTTTCACTACCAAGTTTCCAGTACTGCTAGCAGTTCCAAAATGGTTAGTGGCTATACAGGTATAACTCCCAGCATCTGATTTAGTAACGTTGATGATTCTGAGGTTTCCATCTTCAGAAACGGTAATTCTGAAATCAAAGTAAATGAACCACAAATGGTGAAATTTATCTCATATGACTTATTGCAATTTTTTTCTGTTATTCTGTCATTGTTCAAAGCATAAATCATTGCTACATTATTTGACAGCCTCATCTTTATTTAGGGTATTTGTCTACGTATACATAAACAAAATTGAGATATGTGACTTGTTTAGAGTTTTTAATTCTTTTCTTGCTAAAATGGTCTCAACAGCCAGTTGGAATAACCATTATAAATATTCGATAGGTTGTGACAATTTCTATTTGGTAGCTCTAACCACATTAGGCAAAGGGAAGGCTTATGGTAGATCACCATTAGTCTTGTAACTGCTAATGAGGAATAAGAAAAAAATCCCTTGATAAATCAATTTAAGTCTTTTCATTGAAAGTGTTTTTTTCTAAATGAGAGCCTTAAATTAAATGAGGTATTATTAACATATTTATTTCTGAAATATGTCAGCCAATACATTTTTAATGAGATGTAAAAACTGAACTTAAAAAAAATTAAAATATTCCACAACTCAGTGTGACTTTGGCAGAATAGCAAATGTGGACAGCAAACCTCAGGCCCCACAATTAGGGACAAACATCTACTTTCTGCAGGGAAGAAAATGTTTTTGTTGACAGATGCAAAATCTGGAAGAGGAAGAGTTTTAAAGAACTCTGTTTTCAACGTGACTACCAGAAGAGAAGTAGGAAAATACAAAGATGAGTAAGACAGACAGCTTGGCTTAGAGGCTTGTCAGAGAAATAAAAAACGTACACAGATAGCTCATTCAAGGTAAATGTTTGTTAAATTTCTCTTTTATTTCAAATCTGCCTACATCTTTCCATCTCTTCCACTCCCTCCTTCTCACCTAGTCCATCAAAACAGCCTCCTAATTGGTCTGCCTATTTCTACTCTTGTCCATCAGATCCATTCTTCAGTCAGTGGCCAGATGATCTTTTAAAATTTAAACCGGATTATATCACTCTCCTGGCTTAAAGCTATGTCCTTAGCTCTGCCACTGCATTCTGAAAACTTTTCTTGCTGCAGCCTTATTATAAAGCTTAATGGATCTAGCTTTTTAAAAAGCCTCTCTTGCTTACTATTTTGTTCTAATCTCTACTCTTCAATGAACTCTAGTCACACTGGCCTTCTGCATATTCCTAGAGTATTAGAAACCCTTCCCACTTCAGGGCCTTTGCACTTGCTGTTCTGCCAGCTTTGAACACCCTTCCGTGTATCTGGACATAGCTGTCACCTTCTCACCTTCAGGATCTCAGCGTAGAGGCAGTTTTTCCTTATAGATCTTTCCCAACTCACTGTTTACAGTGGGTCTCCCTGTCTCCCTGTTTTCCTGCAGCCACTTTATTTCTTCCCACTAAATTCAATCTGGAAATTTTATTTGTTTGCTTGTTAGTTGTCTTATCACATGGAATGGTAGCATCTCTGAGGGCACGGATGGTGTTCGTCTTACGACTGAACCTCCTGGGTCTAGTACAGAGGATGGCATGTAGTAGATATTAGAAATATTTCTTAAGTGGCTGAGTGAATACATGAATAAATAAATAATCTAAGGGAAAAATCGATAATATGTTGTATGAATTCAGAGTGGTTGAACTACTTGGGCACTAGTGCTAGACTTAACAGAGTCCTTCCAAATCTCTGAAACAAGGGGTCTAGGATGGGCAGAGCCTCACTTCATAGAACTTTTGAGTAAGCATTTTAAAAACACAGGTGAAGACGTAAATGCACGGGGTTACGAATGCTGCATATACTTTTGTGAAGGCTTTTCTGGATGGAGAAGCTACAGTCTTCCCGAAGACCTGGTCCAGATCTATGACTCAATCTGATGAGAGGGTATGAAGGCAGAAGAACTCTACAAAGAATTTTGGAATCAGAGGGATGGGAGTTCACATTCCAGTGCTGTCATTTCTAGCTGTACCACTAAAGGCAACTTACTTAACTTTCTCAGTTTTTACTTCCTCTTCTATGAAATAGAAGTAACAATGTCCATCTTATAGACTGATAGCAAGAATTAGGTAAGATAGGGTCAGCAAGATTCCTAGATGTTTCCTGATATTTACTAGGCAGTGGTTCTCTTTCATCTTTAAAATTGTGTTTGGTAGGCTGGGTGTGGTGGCTCACGCCTGTAATTCTAGCAATTTGGGGGGCTGAGGCAGGAGGATCATTTGAGCTCAGGAGTTTGAGACCAGCCTGGGCAACATGGCAAAACCCTGTCTCTACAAAAAATACAAAAGTTAGCTAGGTGTGCTGGCTTGTGCCTACAGTCCCAACTACTTGAGGGGCTGACGTGGGAGGATGGCTTGAATCTAGGAGGTGGAGGTTGCAGTGAGCCAAGATGGCACCACTACACTCCATCTTAGGAGACAGAGTGAGAACCTATCTCAAAAAAAAAAAAAAAAAAAAAAAAAAGGTGTTATCTTATTTGGTCATTTGTATATATAGGAAACACTGGACAACATCATTTTAATATATTTTCTTTTAACATAGTAATTAAATCAGCCTTATTTTTGTATTTTGACTGTTATTTCTGACAATTTGAAATCAATATGCAAATTAACTGAGTCATCCCAAATCAAGGTACAAGATGCAGACAGGGCACGAGGGCACTTGTGGTTGGGCAGTTTGTACCTGCTGGCGGTGCCTATATTGCTTTCTGGTAGATGCCTGGCATTGGAGGCCTTGGCCTTTGGGCTGGGGTGACCCATGCTCCTTTCCTGGTGGAGGCAAGGGAGCCGAGCTGGAGCCATGGCCAGTGAGGTGGTAACTGTTAGGCCTAACCATTGCTGTTGAAGGATTTGCGGGTCATTATATTTTGCAAACCAGGAAGCATATGGAGCCTCAGGTAAAACAAGTTTTTCAAAGTCTACTGAAATCTGCCCTCAATGATGGCTATTACAGAGATGTCTGAACCCAAAGTGACAAAATAAGAAGCAGAGGTGCAAGACCTCCTGCCAATAAAGAAAGAACAAGTGATGCTCATAAACAAATTACTCTCTTAAATCACATCACTCAGATAAAGGAGAATGTTCTTACATAGCAGCCAAAATTTATGAAGCTAAACATTTACTAGAATATCAAGGTAAAAAAAACAAGTAAATGCATGATGAATTTTAAGTTCTTATTAGTTTACATAGATGACTACCAACTTCTTATAATAAAATGTCTCAAAACTACAATTAAAAAAATAATTTAGCATAAGCTAAATCAAAACTCTGGGTAAAAAAAAGACACAGACAAGAAGGCCTTTTGTTCACTCACATCACAGATACGCATATAACAGTTGCTCAATAAAGACCATCTGATACCTCATTTGCCAAGGAGCAGATGCACTGACAAAAACAGAGTGGAGAACAAATCTTAATTACCTCAATAATAACAAAAATAGCTTTAAAGGAGTTAGTCACATTCCATTTATAAAATAATTTGCTAGAAATTGTGAAATGCTGGCATATGAGAATTAAATATGTAAGGTGACATTTGTGTTTTATGTATGGGCCTATCTTCCATGAGGTAACACTGGCTTGGAGCATATTAAATATTCTGAGGGGTGAGATGACTCTTTAAAAGCAAAAACACCTATTAATAACGTATACCATTAAAAATAGTATCATGACCATTCCAAAAACCTGAAGCCATCGCCTGTATCAAACTCTGACATGCTGAAGGAAATGAATACAGAAACAAGTAAAGGATTTGTCATCAGATGACTTGGATTCTAGCCTTGACTCTGAAACTTGTCAAGTATATAGCATTGCCAAGTTACTCATGCAAACTCTGACACAGTTTCCCAACCTTGGCACTGACGACATTTTGGACTGAACAATTATTTGTCCTAGGGGGGATAATGGGCAGCATCCTTGGCCTGTACCCACTGGACTCCCATAGCTCTAACCCTTCCCCAAGTCATGACAATCAAAAATGTCTCCAGAGATTGTCAAAGATACCCTGGGGGTCAAAATCACCCCAGTTGAGAACTGCAAGTGTAATTCAGTTTTTAAAATCCCTTCTTCTATAATGAGATAAGATAGTTGAAAATTTCGTAACTTAAAGTGCTCCACACTCTTCAAATGTTTTCCCCACCATCATTTCCATCCCTGCTTCCTACTTTTGGTATTGGCACTGCATAAAACCCAGCTAGCTTTTAACAGTCTTAGTACAAGGCTCTCTTTGCCCCTTGTCCTCAGAGTTTCCCTGTCCAATTTCCTATGGGCCTTGTGAAATGACAAAATAATTTTATAAACTGTTTTATTATTAATTTTAAAGATTTCAGTGCCTGATACTGGTTTAGGGTCTTAACTCTCCCATTGTTATTTGCGAAGAGGTAAGAGCCTAACTCTTTTAGAACTCCAGATGAGAGAAGGACAGTGAGGGAGATCGTTTGTAGAAGGGGTAATTTTCAGTAGCCTTCATTAAATCACATCATATTGCTGTGACCACTTATTCTTACTATTATCCAAATGTGGGGGTAATGTGAAGTTTGATAAACTATTCTTTTGAGAAACTCAACCACTTCTTTATATAAGCAATACAGTGTAGTAACTAAGAACATAAACTCTGGAACTAAACTGTCTACGCTCAAATCATGCTTCTACTGCTTAGGAGTTGTGTGACTTTGGGAAAGTTAATCTCTCTGTAACTCAGTTTCCTTGTTTGTAAAAATGGGATGATAAAAGTAACCATATATATCTCATAGAGTTGTTGTAAATATGTGCAGTGCTTAGAATGATGCCTGACACGTAAAATGCACCAGGCAGGACAGGTACCTGGGCATATGTCAGTGAGACAGTCTATTCATATGTCATGAATAGACCAGGTTAGTCATATGTTCTATTAAGTAAAGCTCTGTGCCTTCCTGGACCCATTGTTTCAAGCAATTACAAAGGATTCTGTTAAGGCTAAGACAACTGCTGAGTAGTTCTGCCACTCTGAAGTCCTACAACACATTATGATGCCTCACAAAGCATATGGGTGACACCAAATA